TTTGAAAACCGAACCGAAAACCATACTGACCGTACGTGCAGCGAAGGGGGACGTGCTTGCTCTGCGTCTGCGTGGGTGGTGGTGGTGTCTCTGCCTGATGGACCGTCTCAGACAGGCAGGCCAGCTAGTGTGTGTCCATGTGGTTGTGGTCACAAGGGAGCTTTTTCGCTTTGCTTTCTTGGGCTCCTCGCCTCAAGGGAAAGGTTGCCACGCATGGGAAAAGTCAAAACTCGGTGATTAGGAACAATCACTGTGGTTGCGGCTTGTGGGTGACCCTGAGCTATATTGTCAGTGGTGGCTGGATGACTAAGGGCATATACAATGGTGGCATATGGATACATATGCCTTATGACAAAAAGTAATTTGAGGCATCTATATTTATTTATTTTTGCCAATGCAAGCTATAATTAGTAGGCCTCATTAAGAAATAGAAAATAAAGACTTTAGTATACATACATCTCTACTTTTCACTCCAACCTTTTCAACTTTTATCACCGGACCACACTTTTTCTCTTCAAGCACCCGCCTCCTGCAGAGGATCCCGCTTCCCTATCCGAACCTAGTTTACATCATATCCGATTCTACATGGCATGCGAGGCATCACCTTGAGGCTATGGGGTATTTGGTTCAGGGACTTTTTAGTCCCAGAGACTAGAAAAAGTCCCTAAAAAATCTGTAGGAACCAAACGGGAGGGACTTTTTCTACAAGGACTAGAAAAAAAGTCTATTAAAGAGTCTTTTTTGATTAGTCCCTAGGACTAAAAAAGTCTTAGGACTTCTAAACCAAACACCCCCTATTGTACATGCCCTAAATCTAGCCATCTAGTGCTATTTTAGTACTAGTGGTATTTTTATCTCCTAGCTCTCGATAGTGTAGCAAATGTCTACACAAATGAACGATGACGCACGAATTGAGGATACCTTTTGGCTCAGCACACTACAAACCATTAGGACATCTCCAATGGCCAACCCACAAAAAATCTCTCGCGTCCGTTCACGGACAGAGGGACCCATTCACGGACACGGATGCGGGGGCAACCAACCAACGCTAGCCGTATACATTTTCACAACAACTCAAACCAACCGGACGAAATTCGTGCAAAATGGCTGGGTTTCATGCAAACATGTCAGGTTCATATAAAAAACCGGATTTTCATATAAACATGACAAATTTTAGTACATTTTACATCAACGGTGCTAGTCCGCCTCTGAAGGTATAATTAATACCTAATCTAAATCGCCGCCGCGGATCCTTTTGTCTTCCTCATGTCTGGCAGTCCGATCACCAAACTGCCAGGAGATTCAGAGGTATATGCTTCAACGCAAAGGACGGCTCGCTTCCCCACCACTCATCAGAGTGAAACCCCGGCCGATGCTTCAGCGGGAGGGGAAGGCGACGCATCCGCTTCCGTGAAGCCCATGTGGGATCGACGGAGGTCCTCGAAAGAGAAGAAGCGGGCAAGACACCGGTTGTGTACGCTGGTATATCGCCTAGGCAGTGGCCTTCGTGGGACCCAAGGGGCGGTGGACTCCCGTGTTCTACTTCTCCTGGATGATGGTAGCAGACCCGGAAGCGTCGACCACTGGCTCGTCGCTCTCTCCGCACCACCCGACTTCTGCCTCTGCCTGCATGGCGCGATTGCATGCACGGGAGGAGCGGTCACATGCATGAGAGGCGCGGTCACACGCATGGGAGGCGCGACCGCAGACACGGGAGGTGCAGTAGTCTACGACAACGATGATACCCGTGTTGCCGTGCTTCCTATCATGCCGGCGTGGAGAAACTCACACTCCTCGTCGAGTGGCCCTGGAGCGGCCAGTTGTTGAACCACGCGGCGGTTAATGGAGGCGTATGAATATAGTGAGGAGGCGCATTCAATTGGGCGTGCAGCGGACGACGCCCTCGGCCGGGGCACCGCTTCAATGACGGAGGCAGTGCGAGATCGCGTCTGCCTTGAGACGTCTTCAATGCAGAGCGGCGCGCTCTACAGCGGCATGAATGCGGGCAGCTGACGCCAGGTGGGAGCACGTGCGGGAGGGGAGGGATTTTTTAGTGGCCCAGGACGGTCAGAAGCGGGTTTGGGAGTGGTCCGGACTCCCGCAAACCTTTCCCACTTTTATCTCAGGTTTATAAGAAAAATCATATCCAGACCGCCCCGCAGACCGATACAAATCGGCATTGGATGGCTTCTACGATCCGAACAACATGGTCCAAACAGTTACCAAGGTTTATGGATTCGCCTTGGTAATGCCCTTAGTCTTCCTTTGGTTCACGGGACATATCATAAGAATTGAAAAAGCTACTGGAAGCGTGATGTATTTCAAATCTTTTGTTGTTGTTGAGGAAATATGTATCTCAAATCTTATTTATGAATAGGTGTAGAAAAAAGGAAGTCATTTGGTTAACAAGATATGATTTCTTTTCCATTGAATCTCACTTGATGTTTCTTTTTCTTTGAAATACGATGGATATAAATCAATCCCGTATAAGAATCTGATTCTATTCTTACAAAGCCAAGCACACTAAAGGAAAATTTCTTACAAAAATCCTATAATAATTTCTACAAAATTCATGTAAATCAAAGCATGACTTCGCTTCCTCCACCACTTTCAATAATAAAGAGCAACTATAACCCTATTGATTATTTTTTAACACGCAAGAGCTCATATACACGCACATACACTCATTTCTACGAAGGCGCACACACATATCCTACCCCATGAGCACCTACGAAAGACTGAGCTGACATATCATCTTGAAATTTACGAAGTCATCGTAGGCACCTCGTCGTCGACGGAAACGTCTCCTCACATTGAATGCGCATCGCCAAAAATACTGAAATAAATCCAGGAATAAATGCGAGCACCAGGACTTGAACTCTGGTGGGCTGGGAATATCACAGTCGCTCTAACTATCCAACCACATGTTGGTTTGCTATAACCCTATTGATTTAGAAATGATTGTTCACATACGACATCCGTAGCCATCGAATAATTAAATACAGTATTAATCATTTTGTACTAGCATGCATCTTGATGATCTATCAGGCAGTTCTTAGTATCTACTTAGGAAATTTTATTTCTCAGCAGAAAAATAATATGAAAACTGATATGAGAAACACATGTGAACTTTAAACATTAAGTAAATTAGATACTAGCCTGAAAAAAATCCACAACTACCAGAAAAAAACAAATCAATATATCTACTACTTCAAGGGCTATAAATTTCATTGACAATTTGGTTAATCTGAGGTCTTTGTCGACTGATCTACATGACTTCCAAACCATAACTCATAGTACAAACAATACTAGTATAAAAGGAAAAAAATTTAGGGAAAGTCCTATTTTGGCCGCAAGCTCAAATGCTCGCTCATGAACTCTAAAATCCATTTTTTTTAATCTTTTGAAAAAATATTTTTTTTTGTGACAAACTTTGACTGATGTTTGAGTGCATTCAAAGTTTCATCATGGAATGACATTCCTGGAAACTTGTTTTTTTAAGACTTCCACAAATGTCATTCCATACCGACATGTTAATATAATATTCCTTTTGAAACTTGTGAGTCGATACACTTTCGCTAGTCAAAATTCTGTTGTGCCAGAATTTGCAACAAATTAGCAGGTTAGTTGCTAGATAACCAACTCATTCGGTAGCCAAAATTTGACATCAAACGAAGAATGCCCTTTAGAAAATTGTTTGTCAAGTGAATGCAGTTTTGTGGAAGTCAAATCCCTTATGAATACACGTGCAGAATAACTGTAAAAGTTAATCAAATTATTTTGTATAACTTTTTGACAAAAAATGTTTGTGTCTTCTAATTGTGAGTAATGTTTCACAAAGAAATTACATATTTTTTGATCTTGGCCCAAACAATAAAAAAGGAAGCTTTTGAGAGCTTTGATTTATTTTTTGGTAAATAGATATGTCATTTCTTCACGAGATTTTGTACACAATGAGAAGATATGGACATGTTTATCGTAAAAAAAGAAAGTATTACTTTTCTAAAATTTAATCTCCATCCGAGAGCATGCAAAGTCGAGCTCCATTTTTCATATCCGACAAAATAGGGAGTGTTGAAGTAGAAATATATCTATCTTTGTTTGACGCCTTCTTCGCCATTTTTTCCAATAACTAGTGGATGTCTTTTTCAATGCATTTTTTTTGCCAATAGAAACTCTTACGTTCATTTTTCTTAAGCACACACCATAGAACAATAGTTCTATGGTAAATTTCATTAATAAAAAGTATGTTATATTGAGGAAGAAAAAAAGGATGAAGCTAAAAAGAAGATCCTACAAAAGGAAGAAATATCTTATCCAACTCCAGTTTTTGGGAACAAGATCATCATGAAGTTAGAAGGTAGTACCTCCGTCCGGGATTATTAGGCCCCTTCTATTTTGGATTGAAGTTTAACCAAAGATTTAATTAAACAAATGTAAATTATATGTCACAAAAATTATACTGCCGAAACCTCTTTCGAATACAAATCAAAAAATATACTTTTTATGGCATATACTTTATATTTTGTTAGTCAAATAGATAGTCAAACTTTGACTCAAAATACGAGGGGGGCTAATAAACCCGGACGGAGGGAGTATGAGCTAGCCAAGACATGAATTCTGCAGAAAATTTGCTCTTGATCTTTATTGCTAGAAGCTTAAGTTGCATTTTGAGAGTGAATCTCCAAAACTTTACTGCCCATTGCCGCTGCCTATAATCACATCAAATAATTACCAATTTCGAAAAATTATGAAACACTACCTACCAAACACTTGAATGGTTTTTTTGAATATTTTGAAGGCTCCCTATATACTCCTGATACTTCCGCAGCGTCTATCTTCACGCTTCCCTAAACCCACTGGCACAGCACAGGCGTACCCACACTCTCTCCTCTCACTTCCCAACCCAAACCCCTGCACCTCTCCCTCCAAACCGAATCAAACACAAGCATCCAAAGAGCCGCTGCCGCCCACGCACTCTCTTCGCCTAGCCGCTCTCCATGGCAGCCGCCGCCGCCCCCGATGCCGGAGAGTGGTCCGCCGCTGCGCGGCTCCGCCTCGTGTGGCGCGTCGTGCGGGCGGCGGAGCTCCTAGCCCTGGCCTTCGTCCTTTCCCGCTCCTTCCCCCGCCTCCCCTACGCCGCGTCTGCGGCCTCCTCTGCCCTCCGCCTCGCCGCCTCACTCCTCCTCCAACCGCGCTCCATCTTCGTCATCGCCAACGCCATCGTGTTCCTCCTCTACGTCTTCTCGCGCCGCGACCCGTCGCCATCTTCCTCTGCCTCCTACCAGGACTCCCAGGACCAGTTCCTTTCCTTCACCGCCACACCGCTGCTGTCGCCATCGACCACCGAGGCGTCGGCTCTGGCGCCCGAGACGGACGCGGTGTTCGAGGACAAGCAGGCGGTGCACGTGACGGTGCGCGCCCCGCGTCGGAGCAGATCGGAGAAAATCGGCGGCGGAAAACATGGCGGGAGGAGGAGGGCGGGATCGCCGGATATGCGTCGGTCCGATTCGGAGAACGGGCGGCGGCGTCGGTCGACGTCGTCGGCGGCCCCAGAGGAATGCGGTGCGGAGGACGAGAAGGAGGAGTTCCGGAGGGCAGTCGAGGCGTTCATCGCCAAGCAGCAGACGCGGTTTCACCGCGAGGAGTCCTTTGTCTTGGTCGACGGCGCCGGCGTCGGAGACGATGCTCAGGCGATCACCGTAGCTGTGAAGTGACGAGGGAGTTGGCAACAGTGAGCGCGGGGAGGGTGACGAGTGTGAAAGGATGGATCGGTGTGCAAAGAATTTGTTGGTGCCTTGTTTAGTGTACAAGTTTTGCCTTTTTGCTTCTTGTCTTTCTAGCATCTCAATATGTTTCTTTTCTCCACTTGCTTTCGGGGCGTCTGTGATTGACTGATAGCTACCGCCGATCGATGGACTAAATTACTCAATTTTAGACCTCCGTCGCTATATGGTGTCGGCCCACGACTCTCGTGCATCTCTGTCTCTTAATTTATGACGCACGTACGAATTGGATGTTTATATTGGATTTTTATATGCTATACAGGAGTCGAATTACTTCCCGCGTAAAATGCATATTATCGTTGCCACGCGCATGACACACCGAATGCGTCAAACTCCAACGCGTGACCGCATTTGGTCCGTTTGTGTACTGGTTTGAAACGGACAAAAATCATGGCTCAAAGTGTCGACACAAACGGATGGATGTTCTTCTCAGACCCGTTTTTGGCCTAAATTGGGTCACGTTTGCGTCAGAACTGACAAGGTGCGGAAGCGCGGGACGCACACCCTTCTCCTTCTCCCGACCCACTCGTCGGAGGCACAACATTCTCGTTTTCCTCATTTCCTCCCAAAAACCCTCCCGCCCTCTCCTGCCATGGCCACCACCCCAAACGTCGCCGCTACCGCCATCCCAGCCACCACCGACGCCAATCCCGTGGTCTCGAAGAAGAAGAAACCCAAGAAGATGCTCACGTCAGCGCAGCTCACCCGAGAAAAGGCGAAGAGGGCAGGCCGGAGGGCCATTGATGCGGAGAGGAAGGTCGTCGCCCAGCCGCCGTCCACGTCGCCGCCGCGCAACACAAGGCCGCCATTGATGATAACGAGGCCCTCGTCGCAAGGCCACATAGACAGCGACACACAATGCCCTCCTCCTGCTAGGCTTCAACCAACCCACACCGACCATTACCGCTGCCGCCATGGCCGAGGCGAGCACGTGCTCGTTGGCCGTTCACCCTTAGGGGCAGTTGCCGAGCTTCTCCACAACACCGCAGACCGGCGAACTCCATCCATCGCACGGCCATCGTGCGACCTGCTTCTCCACGTCGCCGGATGGCAGCGCCATCGTGCTGGCCACACCCGCTCCCGCAGCCAGCATCGACCTTAACGGCACACCTCAGTCTGGCGTCGACCCGTCGGCCACTAGGTTGCAACAGAAGCGCCCACGAGCGATCCCTATGGCGAACCTGCCCGGCGCTCGCAAGCTATTCGACGGAATGCCCAACCCGACGCCGGGCCTACTTCAACGATTTCATGGAGAACATCATCTATGAGGGTCATGGCCAAGCCTTACACCCTAAGGGCCATGGCCAAGGCTTCGATCCCGACAAGACCCAAAGCCAAGACGGTCGCGACCAAGATGATGGTGTTGAGCACATTGGTGGCCACGACAACGAAGAAGCGACTGGCGGACAAGGCAAGCCATGGCATGAAGACATTTATTGCAAAGACAAAGAAGATGTCATAGACATTGAGGAAGATCCATTGTTAATCGACGAGCTCACCTTAAAAGCTAATGCGCGAAAGAGGAGGCAAAATAGTCGGACGGGATCATACACCAAAGATGAGGACAAGTTGATTTGCAAAAGTTGAAAGGAAATAGGGCAAGATCCCAAGACCGGTGTTGTGCAAAAAGGAGCCATTTTTGGGGGGAGAGTACATGCAGACTTCCATGAACGCAGGCAGTTCCCGCCCTACAAGTTTGCGAGCACCCATGGCATCAACTCAATCCAAAGGAGGTGGGGGTTTATCCAACAAGAATGCAACAAGTCTTGTGCCAAGCTTGAGAGCATTGAAGCCCGTCCCATGAGTGGCCTAGGCGTGGGGTGACAGGGTATAAGCTCCTCCTTGTTGTTCATGTTTGTTGCATTTTTTGTCCTTTGGTATTACATTGTGGCCTTCACTTTTATTATGTAGGCATTCTAAACTTTGGAAGCCTTCAAGGGCCAAAATGCAAACAAGCCATTCACCATCACCCATTATGCTCATCAAAGATTTCCCCAAGTCTAAAGATCAATATGTTGCCCTAAAGTAAAATGAAGGGCCGGGGGCCGTCGTTGAGCATGGATAAGGAGTGAAGCGCCCGAGGGGCAAGACCAACTCGAAGGTGGACGAGAAGTGTGATGTGGCATCGTTCGTATTGCAAGGAACTTTGCAAGGCATAATGACCCAAAAGGAAGCAAGGGACGAGAGGAAGCGCCAAGAAAAAAGAGGAGAAAATGAAGGCCTACATTGAGCCCCAAACGAAGAAGCTCGACATGGAGAAGGCCGTCAAAAGGAGGAAGCTAGAGATTGAGGAGGCCGTCCAAATGAAAAAGCTCAAGATTGAGGCCACGAATGCTAGGACCAAATCAAAAGAGGTGGCGCTAGATTTCATGGCGAAGGAGGGAGAAATCATGATAGTGGTCTTGACTGTGATGTCCCCGAAGAGAAGACTTTGGGCGCATGCTATTTGAGTTTTTCTTTCAATTTGCATGGTGGCCGGACAAAATGCATCTGCCGGTTGGGCGTACCGGACCATTTTGGTGATGGGCGTTTGGACAACACCCCTTTTACTGACCCAAATGGACAGAATCCGCACAAAATGGACGTTTGTTTGGGGTCATGTATTGGAGTTGGCCTGACACCCCCTCGCTCACTAGTATCTTGCACAAAAGCACCGGTGTTGGTTTGTAGAAAATGATCTTTGGAATATATATATTTCCTTTTGATGAATGTAATGTGGGGTACTATCCTAGTGCTCTTCAAGGGAAGAAAAAGGTAGAATGGCAAAAACAAATGCTAGCTCCTCTTTTTGGGAAATCTGATAGGAGCATTGCCTAATCATATAAAGAAGAGACATGTTTGATTAATTATTGGAGAGAATTGAACGAAAAATGTATACGAGGAACATGAAGCTCCCAACCACCAAAGAAGAAATAGAAACAACAGAAGAAAATACACACCAACACACGAACCAAATGTCAGAGAGGAAAACCTCAATCGCATCGAATCCATCACACACCCGCCACCGCGCAATTCAGATCCGTCATGATCCACTATATATGGAAGGAAAGACAATGATTGGCTCTCTAAGGAGCATGAAATACGCTTCCCAACACATTGCACTAGCACACCACAAACCACCACAATGACGTCAAAGGGGAGAGAAACCAGAAAACTATGGATAGAGCAGGTTTGGGTCACTACTACTTGTGATAGTGTTGGCATTTCTCCAAAGGGGAAGGGTGATGTAGTATAGTAGCAGATAGTATTTCCCCCAATTAAGAACCAAGGTTTATCAAACCAGTAAGAGACACCGCACAAACATGATAAGTGGTACCCGCACACACACACAAAGCAAATGCTTGCACCCAATAAAGGCAAGAGGGTTGTCAATCCCCTTGTTCTCGCCAATTGCAAAGATTAAATCTAATAGTGGTAGATAGATAAAATTCAATTAAATTAAAAATAAAAAGGAAATAAAACAGCTAGCAATTTTTGGGTTTTAGTAAATATGGAAAATGGACCCAAGCCATAGGTTCACTAGAGGCATCTTTCTCATGAGAATAGCGATGGTGGGTAGACAAACTACTGTTGGGGAATTGATAAAATAGCGCATAGTTGTGATGATTCTTCATGGTTGATACGTCTTTATCGTATCTATAATTTTTTATTGTTTCATACCCATATTCTACAACTTTTATATATTCCTGGCAACATTTTATATTATTTTTGGGACTAACATATTGATCCCATGCCTAGTGCCAGTTCCTGTTTGTTGCATGTTTTTTGTTTCGCAGAATATCCATATCCAACAGAGTCCAAACATGATAAAAATTTACAGAGATTTATTTTGGAATATATGTGATTTTTGGAAAAGAAGAATCAACGCAAGACGGTGCACGAGGTAGCCACGAGGCACCAAGGCGTGCCCGGGGGTGGCTGCGCCCTGGTGGCTTGTGAGCACCTCATAGGTTGGTTGACCCCCTTCTTTCGCCGCAAGAAAGATAATATCCGGAAAAAAATTGTGTTAAAATTTCAGCCCAATCGGAGTTATGGATCTCTAGGAATTTTAGAAACGATTTTCGTCTAGAAAACAGGAACGCGAAACAGAAGAGAACAGAGAGAGCGATCCAATCTAGGAGGGGCTCTGCCCCTTCGCCACCATGGCAGCCATGAACCAGAAGGGAAACTATCCTCCCATCAAGGGGGGAGGCCAAGGAATAAGAAGAGGGGGGCTCTCTCCACCTCTCTCCCGGTGGCGCTGGAACGCCGCCCGGGCAATCATCGTGACAGCAATCTACACCAACACCTTCGCCACCGTCACCACCAACTCTCTCCCCCTCTATGCAGCGGTGTAACACCTCTTCTCCCCGCTGTAATCTCTACTTAAAGATGGTGCTTCATGCTATATATTATTACCTAATGATGTATGGCCATCATATGATGTTTGACTAGATTCATTTTGTCCTATGGGTTGGTTCATGATCGTGATTGGTTTGAGTTGTATATTTTATTTTGGTGCTGTCCTATGGTGCCCTCCATTTTGTGCAAGCATGAGCGCTTCCCGCTGTAGGGTGTTGCAATACATTCATGATTCGCTTATGGTGGGTGGCGAGAGTGATAAAAGCTTATACCCGAGTAAGGGGGTTGTTGCGTATGGGAGTAAAGAGGACTTGATACTTAATGCTATGGTTTGGTTTTACCTTAATGATCTTTGGTAGTAGCGGATGCTTGCTAGAGTTCCAATCATAAGTACATATGATCCAAGTATGAAAAGTATGTTAGCTCATGCCTCTCCCTCATATAAAATTGCAATAATGATTACCGGTCTAGTTATCGGTCGCCTAGGGACAAATCCTTCTCTTGTGTTATAAAAATCTTTCAACTAAACAACTAACTATTATTACCTCACAAAGTATTCCTATTTTTATTCTTGCAAAGTAGTTCTAGCT